CCCCCCCCCCCCCCCCCCCCCCCCCCCCCGGGTAGTGGGGGGGGGGGGGGGGGGGGGGGGGCAGAGGAGGAGGTGGAGGCGGCGTTTTGCAGAGTAAGTACTGGAGTCCGTGTGGACCTGCCTGGTGGATGCTGTCACATTCGCAGATTTTGCAGAGAGGTTTCCGTGTGACTCGACTATCTCCTGGAATCTGGGCAGAGAGGAAGTGATGCGGGAACAGAAAGGAAGCTGTCGTCTGGCGGTTTTCTTTTCTTTTTTTTTTCTTCGTTTTCTTCCAAAAAGTTAAGACCTTTTTTTGCGGTAAAAAACCAAGCGGTTGTGCTTGCATTAATCAAAACAATGTAAACTGAAGGTGGGACTCAGATAAAAACTTAAACACGTGCAGGGCTTTGGGGGGGGGGGGGTCCCAGGGACCGGCAGCGACATTAAGGTTCACAGCACCCTGACCGCAGCTTGTGCCAGTGGGTCCTGACAGAGGCCAACAGTACATCTACAAATAGGGAGGGGGTTAAACTGGCCGGCTGGAGTCGGTGGAGGAAAACAGCGAGTCTGGGTCAGGAAGGAAAGGGAACCCCGCCCTGATTTATTCTGTATTCATGCAAGCGCCAGGAAACGTGAACCCTTTCTTCCATCGTGCAAACGTCTGTCCAAGTGTACAAAACGAATGCGAAACGGATGAGAAGCGTGGCAGTGCAACTGCAACGAAGGGGCCCAAGCACAGCGCTGGCGATGGGTGATGAGGAAACGGAAGTGAAACAGCGAGAGAGAGAGAGAGAGAGTCAGGCGGAGCCAGGCTGGACAGGCTCCGCCCCCCTAAGGTGTCACTCTGCGTCGGGATATACCTGGGCCTGTGTGACATTTGGAGTTCCTCTCCTGTGAAGGCAACGTTACCCCATATTTTGCAGCAGCCCTGTCTGTTGGAAAGTCACACAGAAAAAAAATAACAAAGATCTAAGAGAAAAGACCAAAAAAAAAAGAAGATTCAGGAATGATTGTCAGGCTCCAACAAAGCTTTGATCGTGATCCTCAGTCTGCTTCTGATTGTTATCCCTCGTTCCTTCTCGTCTTCCCTCCGCTCCAGTCTTCCGCGGGGCACTAGGAGCGGATCCCCGGCGGGCCCGACGAGCTCTCCAGCGACGACTGCGAGGCCCGCCGGGTGACGGAGGCCAGCGTCGGGTCCACCAGCGAGGACGGCGGGAACAGTTTGTACCAGCCGATCACCGTGCTGGACAGGTCCAGCTCCTCCAGCAGGATCTGTGCCACTCCCATGAAGCATTTGTGGTCCATGCGACCATAGTCGCCCCAGACTATCACCTGTGAGAAGGACCGAGTGCATCAAACAGCCTGCGAAATGAGACACGGGGCCCCAACTCCAGCAGCCCACCGGGTCGCTCACCTGTAGAACTTTGCCCTGCGGACTCTCTTCAAACAGCAGCGCTTGCTGGTACAGTGGGTCCAGCGTCTTCCTGGCGATCTTCGTCTTCTTTTTGGCTACATACGCCCCGTTATCCAGCAGGTAGACCTTGACGTACGGAGCTGGTGGCACAGAGAGGACATTTTTCACCATCTCTTGGGCCTGAAGTACACGGTTCCCTTCGCCTGTTAATACCCACCTTTTTGACCGGCACAGATCAGGCCTGATTCTGCCTAATTAGGGAGGTCAATTTGCAGTAACACACTGGTGAATAAACATGCTATGTCTACCTACTACACGCCCATGACTGTTTATCTAGTTCAAGATCATGATGAGTCTATCCCAGAAGCATAGGGCACCAGAGGTGGATAGTTCAGGTCCAGAAAGTAAAAATCCAGACCAAGATTTTGTTTCAACCAACAAGGTGAGCATATAGTGTCATGGTCACAGAGTACTCAGCTGGTTGGTTGAAAGAAAATCTTGGTCTGGATTTTTATTCACTGGACCTGAACTATCCACCTCTGCAGGGCACACACTCACACCATCACACAGTATTGGATACCAATTCATGGAACTGCATATTTTTTAGAAGAACCGGAGTACCCAGAGCAAACCCATGTGGAAATGGGCAGGAATCGAGCCCCCGGCCCTGGCAGCTGCGAGGTTAAGTAACACCCAGACAGCCACTGTACCTCTGAAACTGAAAATCAATACCACACACAAGCCTTGAATCGGCATCCTTTATCTCTAAAGGGTGAAACGCTCTCTCATGGACAAGCTTGGCAATCTGCAGGAAAATGCATCATTGAAGCTCGCATTTAATGCATGTCCAGGGCTGCATGTGAGCTGTGGCATCACCAGACGGAGCCGTGCATCAGAGGGAACAGTTATGGGACCACTTAGGGGTCACATGGAGGCGGGGCCTGGTGTGAGCGCGTGCAGAACAGGCCTCACCGGGGAGGGACTTCGACCCGGGCTTCTGAATGAGGCCTCGTGCACGGATGACCTCCACCTCCAGCTGGCCCTTCTTGTCCATCATGCCAATCTGGATGTCACCTGGAGGGGCGGGGCATCGTCAGCAGCAACCACAGGAGATCGCATTCAGAGCCACAGCATATGTCAGCTGGCTAAATAGCAACGTTAACAAGTTGCAAACTGGCAACTGTGTCTATTCTAATATAAACAATGGGAATCATGAGCAGCGGTTGGCAAAATTGTTTCAAAATAAGAGCCAGAGGAAAAGAGCAGATGTGATTGGATGAGACTTCAAGTGGCCGGCAGTGAGTAGAGGAGAGACCAATAGGAAAGCATTAAGGTGAAAAAGATGGCGGTCCTTGGCGAGAGCACTCACCGATGGCGGGCGTGGCCAGCGTCTGCCTGCCCACCAGCTGTGCGGGACCCAGACCATCCAGGAAGTCGCTGAACTGGCTGTCGGCCCCCAGACGGACGCCGGAGAAGATCAGGCTATGTGGGCGGCGGAGAGCGCAGCTCAGGTAAGGAGGGAGGGGCACGGGAACGCCACGCTCTGCATATGGCCCCCGTGTCGCGTTGGTGACCGGGCCGACACAGTCACATGCTATCAGATCGCCCATGGAGTGCCCGCAAGTGTGACCCCCCAGGAGCAGCAGACAGGGACACTGCCCCCCCCCCCACGTAAATCACGGTAATTTTCCAGAATGATTCTCTAGGCCTCGTCTGCTGTGCCATGCGTCACGGCCGGCCCGCGTGAGTGGCACTACGCCTGTCAGTGCCTCTCGCAGCCTGATTAAAGGACGCGCTTGCTATTTCTGGGCTGTGGGCTTGCGCACCGGCGATGAAAGATGGAGTGATTATACGGGAAGGGGAGGCACTGGGGGGGGGTGGGGTCCACATTGGTGGAGGGACACTAGGTGTCTCTCTCATTACTGAAAACAAAACTATGCCTCCAATCGTTCGTGTACAGATCCGTTCATCTAACAGATAGCTCAGAGACAGCTCTGTCTCCCTCTCTGGCCAGTGGGGGGGGGGTCTCTCAGTCGCCCATTACTCACACGCGGCACTACACAGGGCAACTGTCACCAGGCACGGAGCTGAGGAGTATTTGCGAATCGGTCGGTGTTTAAACATTTTTCAGCAATTCACCTTTATTCGTGTCCAAGGGGATCATATTACCTATGTCTTACGTAACGTCTTCTTTAATTGGCTAATAAAATTCAGAAAACATAGTAACCATTATATTTAACACCTTAAGAAAGATAGGGAGAATAAAATAAAATACAACTGATCTGTCTGCAGTCCTGTTCACAGATCTTGGAAAAAAATTGTCACAAACCATTGACTGGCAGTCATTCCCTTTCATAGGAGGTAGGACAGGGGGGGTAAGGGGGTGGGGGGGGGGCACTCACTTGCCCTCGGAGTTGTAGCTGTTCATGCTGCCGTTAGTGGACTCGCGGCTGGCCTGCCGCGCCATGGCATTGCGCGGGTACTCCACCGCCATGCCCGTCTCCTGGCTCCGCTGAATCTGGCTCTTTGACTTCTTGCTGGCCGCCTCTGGAAGGGAGCGCAGAGCAGGGCAGGCCGTCAGGGACAGCGGTCTACACGGGGTCACGCCGCCAATGGCGCCCCCTACTGAAAATAGGCACACACGGCGTCCGGTCTCGCCCCCTCACACAGACCCATGGCTGCTATCCAAAGCCCAAGTTTCTTTCGATTCTTCCACTGCTAGCTCGCCTATGCTAATATTCCTTGGTATGACAATCCATTGTTGTCCTTTGAAACATCTGAAGAACCTCCCCAGAGAAAGTCACAAGCTCGAGAAACTGAAGAACTGAGTAACTCAACACTTCGTCTGACCATGACACCAACCTTCTTCTTAAGCTGCCAACAGGGGGCGCCATGGGGCCCTTCACTAATGAGAAGCACCATACTCTTTGCACTGACCTCTTAGCGCATTTAGCCAGTGAGATCATCAGTGACAGTTCCCCCCCCTCCAAGTGCCCTCTTTTAATCTGCACCTGTTTAAGGCGGGACATGGCCGTCTCAATGGCTGCATGCCTGTAATGTCCAGATGGGATACCTGCATCTGCATAATAATGAATATGCCTCATTACACAGTTAATCACTCCCCAACTTTGGCAAATTTAACCAACATCTTCTACTGCTGCTACGGAACATTGGTCATTGAAATTAAGAGGAAAATAACTCTCTTGGATCTCTCGTTCAGTATCCAGGAGAGAGTTCCGGGGGCAGAGCAACTCATCCAAGGCCTCGATTTTGTAGTCTGAGTCACACATGGTCACAGCAGTAACACGTATTTGTAACCGGCCCTGAATTACCCACAGTGCACTGTCCTCTACCTCGTCATTGACAAGTGATTTATTCATTGGGAATGATTTGGCAGCCCGTTTTGTCAGTGTGATAGTGGTTTAATTAACCAATGGCACTCCTCTGTTTGCTCCATTCAATTCAATTTAAACTCTCTAGACTGAAAGCCTGTAAGGTAACCTTACATTCATAAAGGGTGAATTACCATTATTTAGGAGATTTAGCATGTTTCAAAGTCTAGCTGGAAATGGAGGACTCCATCCATCCATCCATCCATCCTTCCATCTATCCATCCATCCATGACCACATAATCAGTACAGGATTCAGGGAGTCTGGACTCTGTCTGAGGACAGAAATGTCCCGGATGGTAGTCTAATGGGACGGCGTTAACACTTCTTAGCATCTCACGTGCTCAGCCCTCCCCCTGCTGCCTGACAGCACCCCCCCCCCTCCCCATGGCCTGGCTGGTGGACAGCAGCTTGGTGCACCAAAGCTCAGAGAAGCTCAGCCATGTGTAGCAGATGGAGCTTCAACGAGCTGATTTACGTCCAAACTACGTCACCGTTTTACGTATCAGACTTCTTAAAATATCATGCAGGCTTTTGGTGCTAGAAAATGAACCGGTGAGTGTTTTTTTCCATATCATAAAGCCCATTTATTCAAAGATCAAGAGGTGACTTTATTTCACGTCACTGTTCCACGTCAAAGGGCCGTGAGTTTGTTGACGGTCCCTTAGCAGACAGAACCCACTACTGCAAACCCAAGATGGGGTGCTGTCTTGTCTTTTTTGTTCTGCTTTATGAAGTCTGGGGGCGGCTGCTACAATAGACCTTCGTTTGAGCTCAAGGGTCACCTGATACCCGATAAAATGAACATAAAGACCAGGCAGTTCATCTTCACGACTGACAGGTAGTGGGCTCCAACATGAAGGACTGTCTCACTCGGAGGACGCCTCAACACTGCACGATAACATCCTCCTAATGGTCACACGATGAAAGGTTAAAGGACTCAAAAGGGGCCGTCCATCAACGTGCCATTTTTACATCAACGGGATCATTACTGTGTGTGAGACAGGGCAAGGCCAGGGCTGTGTCAAGAGACAGATGACCATTTTCACGTTTAGTCTTACCATTACTTAACACCGATGCGCAGTAACATCAGGCCAAAGTTACGTCTGATTTCCTAGCCCCATTTGTGCCTGATGCACTTTAATGCTAAAATCGATACTGAACACATAAATTGATTTCCTTGGGTAATTGCTAGGTATACAAATGTCTCTCTTTCCAGACCGTGGAGTTTCACATTGACCTATCCATACTCCATATTCCCATCTTCTGTTTATTAACAAAAGTACCAGACACGATCCAGATTCATTCTCACCCATTTCTGCTCCACACACCAACGTTCGGTCGGTAATTCAACATTTTTAGTTGCGGTAAATCTATAGCGGTACCGTCGCCCAGTTTTCCTTACTTATTCTTGAGGAATTCTGTCACTGATAGTAAAAGAAACATTTTATTAATGAGAGTGAATCACGGCCTTAGTGCAGACTGCCCAAACGTCATTTAAAACAGGAGTGACAGAGTGAAGTCGTCATCACTCAAGTCAGGGCACTAAAGTGTGAGCAGCGAATTAACACCAGACTAACGGTCTGTTCAGGAGCGAGCACTTCAGCACATTGGGGAGTGGCCAAATCAAACGGCACAAAATGGCTGCAGGCTCCCTTCTGATCCCAGTTCTGCTGCAGTCTGGATATCTTTGCTCTGAAATTAGATTTTGCAGGGATAAGGGCCAGATTCAGGGGTCTAAAGGAGATGCAGCTACACTGCTGAGGATGGGATTCAAACCAGTGACAACTTTTTTTCTGGAACCAAGTCTCAGGAACAAGGACCTTTTTAGTTCCTGCTGTGGTGGGCCTTATAGTGAAAAAGTGAATAGAAGTAGCGGAGTACAATTGAGAATTATTTTCATGCCACGATTAAATTTAATTCATTAATGAATACCTTTCTGGTTGTGTCTCCATATTTGTGCAACAGAGAATTTGATCGATAACCGATATATGTTTGTCTAACATCCCCGGTGCCAGAAGTGAAACTGGCCAGCACTTATTAGCGGAATAACGTCACATCACTTTTTTATTCTGTGGAAATAATCTGCTGGCCGGATTTAATAGTAAAGTGTGTGAGAGGCTGAGCACATCCAGCTACACCAAAACACCCTCCTCAGCTCCTAAGCGGCACAAGGTTTTACCCGAAGCCCAAACGGGTACCTTCCGGAACTTTCCCTGTGGCTTAGCTGGGTCACTTCTGTCCCTGTCCTAATGTTATGTGTGTAATTATATTAGATAGCCATCATAAATTTTGCTGTTTCCTCCACAAGGAGGTGTTTAAAGATAATATATGTTATATTGGCTGCTGCATAAATCAGCAACAGCAAGATCTTATCCAAACCACAGCCTCAAAAACACGTCAAATATTTAAAAACACCGTTTTTTAAGGCGATTACAAACCACACAGTTTGCCACACTGTCGTTACACTATCATGGCAAACTCAGCTTCCCGCAAAAATCTGATCACTGGCCCACAGCCCCGTCCACCTCCCCCAGAAGGCAGGCCTGCTGTTTTACATCCCAGCCCCTTCACAAGGCCGGCGTGACAAAGGGACCATTACTGGGTCAAGATGAAAAATACCCGGCCCATATAAAGCCGGCACACTTCGCAGCTATGAAACCCAACCCTCTGAGAATGTAGGGGGGGTGAGCTTGTCACGGCAGCGAGGGATGGGTCTGTCGAGCCAGCGGACTGTGACCCACACTCGCAGCGAAAAGCAGAGCACTAAAAGAGGACGCCCAACGTGGCACCAGTATCCGACCTGCACGAGCGCGGCACTAATGCAGATGCTCAGCCATCGCCTCCTAAAACCGCCGTCTGGACTCTTAAGGCACCATGTAGCCCAAGCATAAAGGTACACGACCCTTCAGACATGGAAACACACTCTCCTCTGGCTTCTCGTCCATTCCCATAAAGGAGGGGGGAGCATGACACTCCTGTCACCTCAGAGTGACCAACCCACATCCCGCCAGCCAATCAGCCCGGCTAATTGGTCGGGGAATCGTGGTGGCCCAGTCTGTTTAAAAGCACATCCCCTACGAGCCCCCGCCCTCAGATGGGCCGTTATGGGGAGCACATAGACCCATAGATAGATAGGTGGGTGGATGGTTGGTTGGTTGATAGATAGATAGATAGATAGATAGATAGATAGATAGATAGATAGATAGATAGATAGAAGGCTGTATTTTTGCACATTTTTCAACAGTTCACAGACTTTTGGGTCTGCGGGAGGGATTGAGGATGGGGGCTGGACGGCTGACACCAGGCCTCGGAGGTTGTGGGGGGGGGAGACTCACCCGTCTGGCTGAGCTGCGAGGTGCTGCGGCTGCGGCGCGAGCCCACGATGGCGACCACACGGGCGCTCAGACTGGAGCGCCGCTTCTTGCCGCCGGAGCCCAGCGTGCCCAGGGCCGTGTCCGACTGGCTGCCGTCGTTGTGCTCGTGCGAGTAGATCTCGCCGCTCACGCTGGTGCTCTTCAGCATGCTCCGGCCGGCCGCGCGAATCTTCCTGTTTGGGATGGGAGAGTGGTTAACCAGAGAGTAGCGGGGCTGAGACACCAGAGCGCCCTCTGCTGGAGGAAAGCAGCACTCACTGGACACTTATCTGCCCAAACCATCCAATGCAGATAAAGTCCTCAGAATTTTCTTCTGGAGAGATAATAAGCCAGACTCTGGGCTTGGCATGGCCAGCGTTAGAGGAAGATGCTTACATCAGCACTGTACTGCCTCTCTAGGGGGCGCTGCGCGCTCCACACCATCCTTCACCTCCTCATGTGACACGTCTCCGCTTGCAAGCGGCTCGCCATCGCTGACCCGGCCTGGCATCGTTCCGTGCCGCCCACTGGGCACTGCTCTCCGTCTCCGTAGCTGGGCTCTGAACCTCACCGATAATAAATAACACCTTCCTTAACGAGGCTGCTGTACGGATGTGGCCAGGAAAGGGCTTCTGGGAGAGGCATCCTCACAGGCGCCGAGCTGACGATGAACCCAGATGTGCCCTTCTACACTTACACATCTATCTGACTGAATGGTGATTACCAGGCAGCGCTCTGATTGGCTGGCGTGGAGTCAGGGGAGGGTAGAGGGCTCTGCCACGCCCCCTGGGGTCTGGATCAGCTGACCTCTGACTGCTCTCACAGCCATTCTGGGTGCTGTAAGAGAGGCACCTCCCCAAAGCCACCAATCTGCCTCTCTACTGCCCCCTGTGAGTGTGTGAGGAAAGAGCGGCTCATGAGTGCCGATCGGTCTCATGCAACCGATCTGAGTGGACACACAGCGGAGGACAGATGGGACACGCAGGGGACGCTACCAGGTAGAGGGAGGAGGGATGTTAATAAATCAAAAACACACCATGCAGAACAGGAACATGTGGTGTAAACGAGTTAGCGGGGGCTGGGGGGGGAGGCAGGCAGGCATGTGTCTGCCTGCATCAGCATATTACGCTCCCAGCAGCTGTAACAGACGATCCCCCCCGGCTGCCGTGCTCAGCGCTCACTGCTGATGCTACACGCGACTAAACAGCGTTATCCATCCCGGGACCCGAGAGAGTACAGCAACAGCAGCGAAAGAAGGGTCCTGCTCCGCAGGGGGGGGGGGGGCACACCGCCGCTGTATCACCATCGACAAAACACAGACTCAGCTATCAGGAGTCAAATGCCAGCCAGAAACGATGACATAAAAACAACAGCGAATGGGAATTACGGCTAAACCACGGTGCAATTTTCCCAAATGACAGCCACGAGTGAACGCCAATGGACCTAGCTGACTAATAAAAACAAAATGGCGTGATGAATTTCATAAATATTTCATAAATTACGCTTCAGATAGTCACAGAGTGTTTTTGGGTTGTTTTTTGCTTTGGGGTATTTTTACAGGAAAACAATTTATCAGCAAGAAAAAAATCTACTAAACTACGTGAGCCATGATGATAAATTACATCACAGCTATAAAAACTGGCTGACTAGCCAGCTAATTAGTCAATAATTGAAATTAAAAATATCTGGTCAAGTAGAAGCTGCAGAACCAGAAAATTGCTGTAAAGTTTTACACTGAATTGACACGATATATTTAAAATACATCTGACACACTTGTTTGGGGATTTAGGAAGATGCAGATAGGCACTGTGGGAACAGGGAGTATCGGCACATAGTACCAAAGCGGGGGGACACCGGGACCATGGGGGAGACACCGGGAGGAGGGTGCAGCCACACCCTCACCAAACACCCAATCAGCTGATAATTACATGAAAGTTACCATTTACTACTTCAGTTCCCCGAACAGATTACTGTAGGTGTCATATCAATCATTTACATGTTAATCTAACAAACAGACACTCTCGCAGTCATCAGTTATTATTATGTAAAACTACATCACATGCGAGTGAGTTTGTAAACGTTTAATTCTGAGCCCAGCTGTCCACATTCTTAGCCGCTGTCTGGCAGTTTGCCGGTCAGACCAGACCTTCAAGGAGACATGAGGCCCTCGTGACACTTCCTCCTCTCCTACACTCCAATCCGCCCATCAGCCCTTCTACAGTCTGTGCCGCTGCCTGCCCCCCCCAAGAAAAAAATTCTAGTCCCGCCTCTGCATTCAGGGTCACAGGGGTCCAGACCCTATCCTGAAAACTATGGGCACAAGGCAGGGAACAACCTACGATGGAGCGCCAAACCATCGGAGGGCACACTCATACACCATTCACGCACACATATACACACCTGCGGGCAATTAGGTAACTCCAATTAGCCTCAGCATGTTTTTGGACTGTGGGGGGAGACCGGAGAACCCGGAGGGAACCCCACAAGGACACGGGGAGAACATGCAGACTCCAAACACCGGAGCAGAGACTGGAACCTTGGTCCCGGAGGTGTGAGGCAACGGGCTGAACACTACACCAGTGTGCCACCCCAAAACTCATCTTTTAAGCACTAATTAATGTACCACAAGCAATTATAACTGAATGCTTGGGGGGGCAATCTATTAAAATGTGTGTATAATGTATTCAGAAAACACCGCGCTGATAAGAGGATATCTGCCTGTTGTGGCGCCATCTGATGGCGTAACCCGGCAGCGCAGGCTCACCTGAAGCGCCCCCAGTGCCGCTCAGACTGTATGGACATGTAGCTGGTGCTGCTGAGACGGGAGGCACTGCTGGCACGAGAGATGGCTGACACGTCGCTGATGTCGCTGTCCGATGACTTGGCGGACACATTGTCGCAGCTTCGCCGCTGCTCTTTGTACAGCTGGAGTCGGGAAGAGGAAGCGACATCAAGGGTGGCCAAAAGGAGCCGGTGGAAAGGTTGGCCAAGACCACGGATCTGATGGACCACAGCTGTGAGATGCTGACCTCTCGCTTGTTCTTGAGCTCGGTCTCCAGGTCCTGACTGGAGCTGGACGTGGTGGACGTCCTGTAGGAATGTACTTTCACCGGCACCTGCCGTGTCCGCTCTGCCGTGACCACGAGAGCTGGCACAGGGAGAACAGAGCGGCGTGAACCAGAAATGTGGGAATGTGGTAACCGTAGGCCGAGGTATACATCTGAGCATGACATGTAGCGAGTGCTAACAGAAAAGGCTAAGGGTTGAGCGAAGGGAACCTCAGGAGAACCAGCTGAACTCTACAAATGGGAGACAGAGACCTGCATGATATCAAACTGGGGAGCAGGGGCAGTTCTACAGTCTCTGGGTACCTGGGATAAAGAAAAAACTACCATGCATCTTAACACAGTTATGGTGACTGTAAAGTTAATGCAAATAAAGAACTGAGGCGTCGCTATAAACAGTTGGGTCTTAAGCCATAGAAGGAGCTGCCAATGCTGGGGACACAGACCCAGGTGTCGGTGAACAGGGGACAGGGATCCAGACACCATCAAACAAAGCGCACTGCACTGGCACGCTGGCATGTTACCTTTCTCCTCTGACTTGCAGTTAGCATGGCCTTCGGGGTCAGAGAGTTGAGTTGGTTGCAGGGAAAAAGCAATGCAGAGAAACAAAGAAGAGGCGTGTGGAACATTAGACACAGACAAACGTCACGTGCTGCAAAGACATATTATAAAATACACCACTAGAGGGCGACACGATGAAGTATTTTTCAGCAGGATGTGTTGCGCTTAAGACCGGCTAGGAACCATGGGCAGGTGAAACTGGCATGAGCACCAGCAGGCGTACCTTGCTCTATCCCACTGTTCTTCACAGGCACCTGTGGCAGCTGTCGCCCCCTACGGGCTGCTTGGGGGGTCGTCGCTGGGGGGGACTGTGAGCGATTGCTATGACCATGTGCTCTGGGGGGGGGGGGGGGGACATATTAACGTGCGAATTTTACTTCTACAAACAACGGAGATCTTTCAGAATCAACTAAGCCAGGGGTGTCAAGCTCCAGTCCTGGGGGGCCGGAGCCCTGTGCAGCTTAGCTCTTTCCCTGTTCCACCACAAATGATTTAGCTTATGAGCTTTGTGGTAATTAGCACAAGGAGTCGAATCAGGTGTGTTAAATGAAGGAAAACCAAAAACTGTGCAGGGCTCCGGCCCCCCAGGACTGGAGTTTGACACCCCTGAACTAAGCATAGCATGTTTGGACATACTTAAATATTCCAAGTTATTAGTTAGGTAGTTTTTAATGTCTATTTATCTACTTAGTCAAACTGCATATATTACAAAAATTGACAGTGATACCAGGCAGTTCATTTTATTTGGTTTATATCATTATGAAACATTCCATTGATGCAAAATGAAACGTATGTCCAACCGCAAACTATGGTTCGTAACATCAGACATAAGCTTGACCCAGAAGAGAAAACCCAACCCTCAAGACAGAACCTCTTACACAAAAACCCAAAAGGCTTTCAGAGATAAGCAGCAGGTATCCGCTAAGGGCTTAAGACAGTAACTAGGGTTAGGCTGACCCCATACCGCAAGTCCACCAAATCAATGTGGCGTCTTTGCCGAACAGAATCCTGTGCGGTATGCCGGGACAAATTACACAGCACGCCAACCGGAGGGTCATGAAGATGAATCTGACTATCGAGCACAGCCAAGTGAAGAGATGGCACACAGGAAGTGATGCAATAGTACAGGTGATGATTCAGATAGGTTGAAGGGGAAAACAGGGAATAAGCAATGTTTATCAGGCCAGGTTTAGCATCTGTCCTGTCTGAGGTAATTTGGGCAGGACCCAACCACCTGTGAAGATCCAACAGACCTTGACGGCCCACTGGTCCCTCTACCGCCCCGGAAAATATTCGAGGGCTGTATTCTCGAAATGTGAATAAAATAAAATGCAATTTTTAATATGAAAAGAAAGATATAAACAAAAGTGAAACATCACTGCACAGTAAATCAATACAGGTAAACAGAGAAGGACAAATATAAAAACATTAGGGATCCAGCAGCTATGCTGCTTGGACGGCGAATTGTTTACAAGCACAATAATGTAGGCTAGAGAAGGAGGGAAAAGAAATATTCTACTTGATGGTTGTGACGATGAAGACCATGTAGACAATGACGGCCATGGGGAACATGAAGACCACAATGACCATGGAGAACATGAAGACTATGAAGACCACAAACACCACAATGACCATGGAGAACAGGAAGACCATGAAGGCAACAAACACCACAATGACCACGGAGAACATGAAGGCCACAAAGACCACAATGACCACGGAGAACATGAAGGCCACAAAGACCACAATGACCATGGAGAACATGAAGACCATGGAGACCACAGACCACAATGACCATGGAGAACAGGCAGACCATGAAGACCACAAAGACCGTGGAGAACAGGAAGACCATGAAGACCATGAAGACCACAAAGACTACAATGATCATGGAGAACATGAAGACCATGAAGACCACAAGGACCACAGTGACAATGAAGAACACGAAGACCATGAAGACCACTACGACCACAGAAATTGTGAAGACCATGATAACCATAGAGACCATGAAGACCATGACGACCATGGAAACCATGACAAGCATGAAGACCACAGAGACCACTGAGATGCACAGTACAATATAACTTTATGCCCTTTCTGTACTACTCAGTGAAACTCATCCACAGTCCTCAACTCTCTATCTCCCTACCAAAGACTAGGACAGACCTCCAGGTACTTTAGCAGACTAATGAAGCACGCAGGCCTCACATATATTAATATGACAGAACAGATCTCCACCTATGGGGAGAATGCCAGAGACCAGCTACCCTCACTTCAGGACTGCCCCACATGGGCATCGGGTCCAACGGGTCGATAAGCAGTCTGTGAAAGTCTGAGAGCTCAGAGCCAAACGGTCCAGTCTCTTTAAAGACCACCGCATGCACTAAAGACAGCGGGTCACCAGAGACCAAAGGCAAGAGTCTGTCTGGATCCAAAATTCACGTGTAAAATTCTGAAAAGTCCAGGAACTTAAACAAATGTCGGTTACTTCAGCTAATAAAAATTCTAACTTTTTAGAAGTCATAAGAATGTCTGAAGATCTCAACTTGTCACACAACTCACCAGCCCTGAAAACAACATAACATTAAAGCTGTCCAGGAATGAGGGTCTAATATAGACCATTCAACAAAATAATGGCCCATTGGAAACCGGTAAACGATGATTAGCGAATATTTCACTGACACCGTTGCGGCAGTGAGGATCTCGGTCATGATTTGGGGATGGCCAATGGCAGCGAGTCGAATCTTGAGGAAACAGCGGTGACAGGATGGCACCTGGAGGGGTGTGAAAAATGCGATGGGGGGTGCTGAGGGCGATGTGGCGTGGGGGTGACATCACTTACCTGTCACTGTCAGAGCTTTTCTTGGTGGCTTTCTGACAGTTAGGCCTACCCAGAGTTCTCGGCTGCCTGCGAACCGGGGGCGAGATGGAGAGACGCAGAAGGAAAACAAACAGAAACAAACGGTGAAGGATGACGGCGGCAGGATGGAGGAGAAGCATTCAGCCACTAGGGGGCAGCAGCGGGGCCCCTGGCCCTCTCCGACTCAACGAAGCATGGCTTCAACTTTACTCAGTACTGAAGGACCATAAATACTGACCTCAGCGACTCGTCCTAAAAGGGAACAGACAGCACACACACATACCAGTCACTCCGCACTCAACGCAGTCATTCCATGAATTAAAATGTCACCCAAATCACACACTCTCACTGCCAATGGCTTAAATGCTTTAAATGAGTTTGTATAAATCAGACTTGAAACCGTAACACTCGGTAGCTGTTTGTGTGGATCCATAAAGGAAGGGAAAACGTCACAGTCTCAGGCAGAGTGTGACTGCATATGCGTCCCGTGCGTGTGTGTTGTGAGTGCGCCCCCCAGTGGAGGCCTAGGGGGCCTGCGGGTACCTCTGGGGCCCTGGCTTGGCACTGAGATGGTTTACCGTCTCCTCTGTGGGAACAACGTGCTCCAGAATCCAGCTGCTCCATGACATCAGCACGGAGATGGGAGGATGAGGAGGGGGACAGGGACAGAAACACACACAATGGATGGTTACACGGCACGGGGGGGCGTCCCCCCTGTGTGGGCGGTAGAACATGGGATGCGTGATGTCTGTGGGCATCCCTGATCCAAATGGTATCAGAATGGCTCCATGGTGACTGGCGGGTAACTCAATCATCATGGTGGAGACAATTTTAGTGTCAGGGGAGGTCACATGACCTGGTAATTTCCAACACTTCTCCGTCAAATCAGTGCACATCTTTGTGTGTGTATGCAAATATTAGTGCGGGGGGGCGGGGGGGGGGGGTTGAGGACTATAGCACAGTAGAGCAGCCATGCTGACTCCACTGCAGAGGGGGCAGGATGGAGGCGGAGCCAAATTTTGGGAGGCAGAAGCAGTAAGGGGGAGGGCACCAGGAGGGGGCCAGCAGGGGGCTGGCCATGACACTCTAAAAAATCATGGGTCTATCAGAGAATCTTCCAGACTGACAGGGAGGGCTGAGGGTCTGATAGGAAATTACGACGTGATAAATTCGATTAGCCCAGTACAGAAACAGCAGGCAGGGCTGAGGATAAAATACCAGCAGGTGGTGCTGTTTCCGCCTCGAGAGAAATGTATGGCAACCTGCCGCATACAGTAAAAACACTGTAAGCTCCAGCTCAAAGGCTTCTTAGGTCAATTTAAGAGAAAAAAACAACAACTTTGGAAGAGATCCCATAAGTTCTTAGAGTGTTCTTTCCCCCCCCCCCCCCACGTCTACAGGGCACAGGAAACTTCACAAGAAGCATAGAGGGATTCAGGGGAATGAGCTGGCAGTTCAGCTGCTCAGTAGGGGGCACTCTGCAGCGGGTGCCAGGCTCCTGGGGGGGGGGGGGGCAGTACCTGTCATCTTCGGGGGAGGCGTGCTGGATTAGAATCCGGGGGCTGGAGGGCCGTCTGCGGGGCAGAGACTGGGTGCATCTGAGGTACAGCCCACAGCGCCACCCCAGCCATTGAGGGTGGTGGCGGTGGGACAGGAGAGATACAGGTGGAGTTAGGGCAGGAGACATGCCATAAAGGGTGGGTGGGGGGAGGGGGGGCTAGCCTAAGGGCTGCCCTTTCTATTTGGGCAGGGGGGAGGAGGTTATAAGCAGACAACACAAGCTAAGTGTGCTGGCTGACTCATGGGCAAAAGCGCTTAGGTACCCCAGGGGTACAATAAAAATGCCTCAGAGTATCACAAACGACACCCATCACTGACAATAAAATTGACTGTTGTCACATGGCAACATTGATGGGCGCTGCTACACACACACACACACACACACATACGCACACACACTTATATACAAACACATGCATGCATGAGCAGAATGGATATGGTGAGACTCTAACATGTTCAGTAAATAAGCCCCTCGGCCATCACACCTCTGATAAAGATCCTCATTATTAATCCAGTATGTAGAGGTCATGAAGTCTGGCTACACGTTTTACTGCTTTAGTAATGGAAGTACCAAACTATGAGGTGAACGGCAAATCCTAAAGGCAAAACAGTCCTTCCAAATAGCTCAGAAACGTGCTACACTGAAACTGGAAATATCTTCTGCGTAGGAGGGTGGACAAGTTAAACCCGCCTTCAGTATTTCTCTGTGTTATATTTTAAAAGAGATACAAGAAGTAAGAGTAGAACCGACGTTTAAAAATCTATCAGAGAACATTTATTTAGTTATTCAGAAGGTGTTGCGTTCTGAGAAAGTTCTCCACATCTGAAGAGGTGACCACACATCTAAAACTCACCACCAGCAACACCACCAAGTCACAAACAAAGCACCTGGACGGTAAACACCCACACACACACAAACACACGTACACACAGGGCGAAAGCTCGCCAACACGCACACCAACACACACTGAAGCACACGCAGAGGCGACGAGGAAAGCGTCACGCGCACACGCACACGCACACGCACAAGGCTGACCAGAACCAGCACACATAGAGCAGAGCATCAAAGGAAACAAGCAGAGAGTCTTGTCTGTGTACCTTTCTCGCTCAGGTGAATGGAAACTAGTGTCTGGTCTCAAACAGTTGGTACTAGAACTTCTAAACCTGTCAAGAGACGGCTGCAGATCACTAGGGCCACAACGCGGCATCCAATGGAGGTCGAGAAAGAGGAAAATAAAAAAAGAAAAGAAAAAAAAGGAAAAAAAAACATGTTAGATAACAAATCATAAACGGGCATGTTAATCTCAACAGGCGATAAGCAGACAGGCAGTCTCAGGGGCAGCTAAATTCAGGAGAGCCTGTGAGCTCTGTTGCTTGGTCTTCCCAATTGGCGTGTGCAGAGGATAGCCCAAATAAGCATAGATCCCCCTCCAGGAGGGTCAGAATGGTATCTCCTATCATCTTAGCAGTGTTGTGAGTCAATGTCAGCAGCCTGTGAACACTGACTGGTGCACTGATAAAAAATGTCCATAAATAGTACATAAAGGGGTCCGCTGGGATGTGGAAACAAGTTTCCTGCAAACATTTCATTGGATATCCCTGTCCCCGCTTCGAGCTAGAAATTGAAAGAGGCGTTCTCTCTAGGAATGAGACCTTCCGGATGATTCGTAGCGACTCGCGACCTCGTCAGTCGGGGAGTGCGGGGCGGAGGGGGCGTGCTCTGAGAGGACGCAGAACTGCCCCTGTTTGGTGCAACACCAGGCACACGGGAAGGGTGGAGCTTGGAGCACACGCACACACGGCGACACTCACATTGCACAGTCAGAATAGGAACATGCAAAAACAGCAGCCGACCCTAATGAAAAAGATAAACAAGAAGTGGACAAGCTGGAAAACTCATGCCCGTTCTCTGGATGACTGCATCCGGCCCAGCCGGCGCATGCTGAATAAATGTGCGAATCCTGCGCCGTTTCCCAGCCTGTGTACCAGCTGGAGCAGACGGCCCGTCTGGCAGCATCCAAAGAAAGCCTAATCAAAGCCGAAAGGATACGCCGACGAGGGAAATCTCTGTCGACAGCCTCTGGCTTTCTCACGCGGCTATCCGGTGACTTCAGCTCACATTCACACTGCTTTTTTCCCACCCCGGAAAATGTAACTTTGGCCTGTATATTTTAATGCAGACCTAATGTGGCGATGCTCTGACATGTAAGTACATAAAGCCACCATGTGTCACTGAGGTGACGGATAATGGCAACGGCATCGGCCATTAAGGTCTTACTATAAGCCTTTACTTTTGAGATCTCGCATGTGCCTTTGAAAAAAGAGCTGTAGAGGAGGCGGGACCAACCAATCAGATATCTTGGTTCTGCTTCCTCTAGTTGCCTGGACCCACCTCCTCTACAATCTGATTGGTTATCTCTATAAACCAATCAATTTTCGTTCTGCCCTCAGAACAGTTTTGTGTGAGTAAAACTCCCTTGCGAGACAAAAGATTGAATTTTAGCAGTTGTAATTGACAAGGGGGATGTCTGGCCGATCCAGTTAGTGACAGACGTCACAGAGAAACGGAAGAGCAGGACAGATGAGGATGGGAGACGTGGAGAAGCTCTGATCTGCATTTGACTGTGTTCAGACAGACACAGAGACACAGCTGTCTATAGACAATAATCAGCTGAGAGGCTGCTGTTTTAAGAAAGGTGGTTTCCTGTTTCTTAAAGGAATAAACAGCATAACTGCCAAATTATCTGTGCTGAATTACAGCCACGTATTGCTGTTAATTAGATGGAGGCAGGCTGGCGACTGATGAGCTCCTGCAGCCAGCTGTACACACGGCCATAATGATCCTCCCGTCTTTTTATAACGAGCTGACAGATAATGATGTAAATCATCGTCTGTTGAAATTCAGCTCTGTCTGAACGCAGCTTTAAAAAGGAAGCAGCAGGGACTCCCCCAGACACCCAGCATATGCTCACTAGACACTTCCCATCCAGACAATGTATAGACTCTCCACAGACTCCCCACTGAGACTCTCCATACAGACTCTCCACAGACTCCCCACTGAGACTCTCCACAGAATACCCACTGAGACTCTCCATACAGACTCTACAGTCAAACTACCCATATATATTTTCACACTAACATTCTTCACTCATACTCCCTACAGACTCCCAAATCAGACTCTCCACACAGACTCCCCACTAAAACTCTACAAACTACCCATATTGACTTTCACGCTCAGATTCTCCACTCATACTCCCTAAACACTCCTCACTCAGACTCTCCATACAGACTCCCCAATCAGACTCTGCATTTCTCAATTCTCCATAGACTCCCTACTTAGACTTTCCATACAGACTCCCCACACAGACTCACTATACAGACTCCCCCCTTAGACTCCCTTCTCAGATTCCTCATTCAGACTCTCCAGACTCCTCACTCAGACTCATTTACACTCTCCGCATAGACTCCCTTCTCAGACTCCCCACTCACACTCTCCAGACTCCCCACTCAGACTCACTATACAGACTCCCTGCTCACACTCTCCAGACTCCTCACTCAGACTCACTACAGACCCCCCACTTACACTCTCCGCATAGACTCCCTACTCAGACTCCCCACTCAGACTCTCCATTCAGACTCCCCTCTTCCCCAAGCTCCAAGCTCCAGCACACCCGGTGCCCGGCACGTGCAGAGCAGAGGCCACAAGATGCAGCTCCTCCTCCGCTCCTCCTCCGCTCCCTGGTACACCCCGTGACCTGCTGGGTGTTATTTACCATTATGAGGTGACCATCCGTCTGCTTACCTGCAGATGTCCTTACGGAACCCAAAACTGACAAGGGCATCTTAGGTTAGTACTGTCTTACTGCACTAAGTGAGCTCATGCTTACTGAGACACAGCACAGGAAATCAAAGGAGAAGCGAAGCACCATTACACAGACACAGAGAGAACAGACATGCAGAAGAACAGAAACACCATTCCATCATTTCTGTGCCCCTTAATGCCCCTTAAAGAAGTCAGGCATCCATTACCATCCCTGGTTAGTTATACAGGAACTGCAGTTGTCACAGAGAATGATCAGTTAATTAACCCAATATATTTGTTAAGTGTTAAAAACTGGTTGACTCAGGCTGACTGGAATTAAGGCACTTCCAGCTGGACAGAATCCCACAAGCACGAGTGATGAGAGTGTGATGATACCCACAATGCACTGCTCACAATGTATTCTCAGCACTGCATCATTACGAGCGGTGAGAATGAAGGCGTCAGATGTGTCAGAACCAGGAGGTCGGAGCAGTGGGTCACGGACCCGTGAAGGGGAGGCGGCATTGGACGGGGTGAGGAAACGGCACTGGCCGTCTCCCTCAGCCTGGTGCCTTGGGGGGGGGGGATGGGAGTTATCAGCGGAGATGGCAGGAGGACCGGGCTTTACCTGTCGGTGTGCAGGCACTCGGCGCTCCCGCCCCGGATCGCTCTGCGCGTCACCTGGGCCTCGCTGTGTTTACCGTGGGAGCGGGATGGTTGGGTGACACATGAGCGAGCCGGGCCGAGCAACGGCCCGACAAAACAGAACCGGGACACAGAGGAAGGAAGAAGAAGATGGATAGATGGGTGAGCGGATGTGCAATGCGGGAACAGAAAGAAATCATAAGATCGACACTTGCTATGGCTATAAGTATTACACCAGTAATAAAAATGATAATAATAATAATTAGAATAATAATAACAGTAGGGGTCCAGCACTGGTGGAGTTTGGACTCCTACCAATAATAATAATAATAATAATAATAATAATAATAATGGCGGCTTATTGTTAGCATTGGTGTCTGAGACGTTCCTGTTTGTCTGACCAAAAGTGAAGATGATCGATCTTCCTAACCACATTACAACCTGAGTTCCTAAAGGCGGAAGGACGTATCACAGATTCCCCGCACTGTAAACTGGCCTTGACTCTGAGCTCTCTGGGTCACGGGGTCCAGTGTGCTCTACAGGGACATCCGCACGACAACAGCACCTTCTAGTGGTGCTTACGAGGTTACGGAATTGACGAGAACCCACATCGGTTGACAGTGGTTTTTGAGAGAGGGGTCTATCGTCACCCGGACAGGATGCCACACACTGTGGGTGGGGGTTATTTTGGATACCCGCTGAGGAAGAGGAAGGAGGTAGACTGTGGCCTCCTTCCTCACACTGTACAGGTCTGCAGTGGTCTGGCCCTCGCTTCACAAACCATACTGGGGATTCACAGAAAGCCTCACGCCTCTACAGCCACACAATACAACTTCAGCTCAGGACGCCCCCTGCAGGTCTGTCTCTGCGTCAAGCCTGGTATGAGATTCACTGGAAGGAAAAGCGGAGCAAACCCAGCAAATTCACAGCTGAGTGGCATTAGCCCAAGTGTTAGAGCCATGCCTCGTCCCTAACACCTGCCCCGCCATCCACCGAGCTGGGGCCTGTTGGACTCTACCTGTCCTCTGAATACTCCTGCTCCGAATCCTGGGGCTCTGGCTCTTCGCGGCCACGGGGGGAGTCACGGTAGCGGGTCGGGGACCAGGACTGGCGCTTGTGGTGGATCTCATCGAGGCTCCTGCAGTGGGTCGGGCGAGAGTGAAAGGGAGAAAGGGACAGTGAGAGACAGTGAAAGAGGGACAGGGACAGTGAGAGACAGTGAAAGAGGGACAGGGACAGTGAGAGACAGTGAAAGAGGGACAGGGACAGTGAGAGACAGTGAAAGAGGGACAGGGACAGAGAAAGCCGTTGGCAGGCTGGCTGAGATGTGCTCTGACATGCAGGAGGTGAAGCTCCCCACAAAGTGGCCACCCCCACCCCCACTCACCTCTGCATGGGCACGTTGGGGGGGCGGGAGCGTCCGCGGCCCTGCTCGTCCCGGTGCGGTGACACGGAGCGTGAGCGGTGCTGCTGGGGGCGCTGCTGCTCAGGCACCACCAACGTGGTGGAGCGCTCCCTCTCCCGCGAGCTCCTCTCTGAAGCAGCTGCTCCATCATTGGGGAGGGAGGTGGGGGAACAGGAGCCTGGTCAGTGGGGGGACAAATCGGTCCACGTGTGGACACCCCTCCCCCCCCCGCCGCGGTCATGCTGGGTGACGTTTCTGGGCTACAGCGCGGCTCCAGGCGCCGGATCCCATCGTGCCGGCGCCGAGCCGGAGAAACGCCGAGGGAAAGAGGTCAAAGGTCAAAGGATACCAGCTGGCACCCACTTCCTGTACGTCTGCCGGGTCGACCGGGGAAAGCCTTCCGATTGCTTCCAATCTCGCTGAAAGCGGGAACAGGGGGGTACGAAGGGGGTTTTGGGGGAACGGGGCGGTTCATCCAATCAGAGCCGTTCCGGGGAGGCCGGGCAGACGCACAGGAGGGGTCCTCCTAAAATGCCAAATATCCTTTCCTACCTTTCTTTCCCACCACTGCAGGCGACTCTCTTTCTACTGCAGGCATGCGCAAAACAAAAAAATAAAAGATTGTCTACGAGGAACGTTTAAAACCCCATGGCACCAAGTCTCCTACTGTCCAGCAGGGGGAGGGAGAGGGGCTCTGGAGACAGAGAGCTGCTTCAAGCCGCCCGCTTCCTGGACAAAAGGCCCTCGTGTGGCTGAAGGGAGGGTGGGGGGGGTTGGGCGTGTCGGAAAGGGCTGCCTGCGTTTTGGCTACGGGTCGGGCTGGAGCCTAGCGCACTGTCTCCAGAGCGGATAAAAACGGGCTGTTTTATCGAGGCCGGGATGCATCGGCTCTCCTCTCCCCGCCCCGCGCCGAAGGCCTACCAAACACAACACGACGCGTATCCATGCCCCCCCAGCCCCCACCCACACCCACCTGTGGCCACTATGGCATTACCATCATCAAACTCTGTGTCAGTGATGCGCTGCGACCCTGCACAGTGGTGGACAGACACACACAGCAGCGGGGTCATGAGAACGCGGACGCACGGGCCGGCAGGTAAACACACAAGGGCAGGTTAGGGTTAGGGTTAGAGTTAGGGTTAGGGGCAATCGGGACGTCCTGTTATAGACAGTCATGTAGAGAGGTGCTGTGTGCGCTCACACACTCACACACACTCACACACACACACACACACACTCACACACACACTCACTCACACACACACACTCACACACACACTCACACACACACACACACACTCACACACACTCACACTCACTCACACACACACTCACACACACACACTCACACGCACACACACACACACTCACACACACACACACTCACACACACACTCACACACACACACACACACGCACACACACACACACTCACACACACACACACTCACACACACACTCACACAGGTTTGTAATTATGTCTTTGTGGGGACTCTCCATTCATGAAAAACCCTAATCCCAACATGACAACTTTAACCCCTACCCAGTCCTAACCTTAATCATAAGTAACCAAACAAAATACAAATGGCTTTTTTACTGTTTTGATTGCATTTACAGATTTTTGTGGGGACCTGAAAAATGGTCCCCAAAATAACAGTTGGTCATTTGGTCCCCACAAAGTAATATAAACCTAATCCACACACACACACACACACACACAAATACACACACACGTTCAGAGACACTCCGATGAGTAAAAACAGCAAACCACTCTGTTCCAGCAGCATGTTAGTATCACACAGACCCACACAGTTTAAAACCCGTCACTTCAGCTGCTTCCGAAGCTGTCGGATGGCAGCTTGGGTCCGCCTTCATGAACTGGCGTTTCCACCGTTTTCAGCCTGAACTCATTACAAACCCCATGGGAACCTTTACGCTCAGCGGGAGCGCGAGGTCAAACGGAGGTCTGGGACCCGCTGCTCAGCAGACTCCCGCAATGCCCCAAGACCGCGGGCGCCCCACACTCACTCTGCAGCTTCTTGCTGGGGCCGTCCCCGTGCCCGTGCCCGTGCCGCCGGGGCAGGTAGGGCGAGGGCTTGGGCAGAGGCAGCGAGGACACGTCGTGGGTCTGCAGCTTGTACCAGTGTGGCATGTCGTCCAACAGGGCCGTCTCCAGCTCGATCAGGATCTGACCGGGGGAAGAGGATGACCATGCGAGTCAGGTCAAATGCTCAAACACACACACACACACGCCGTCTTCACATCTGTCACACAGCACACTGCAAACACACAGCGCCAATACCCACCAAGCACACACTACAGGAACATAACATGAACAGACATTACACAACTCACTAGCTACCACTGCCGGATGAAGTGCCCAATTGTACTTAGTCTTCCAGTGAAATGCACAGAGGGGGCTCCGACTGTTGCAGAGGAACAGGCACTCTGCTCATACAGCTCACCGACTACACAGGACCCTCGCAAGACACACACCTCCCCCAGGAATTCACTCTGCTCCTCCTGGATTCGCGGCTGGTCCCATACGGTGATCTCCAGCATGCGCTCCCTGAAGTCCCTTCGGTGCACGTGCGAGTAGAGGAAGGTTTGGTTCCATTTGGGTTCCAGATTCTTCTTCACTGTTTTGGTCCTTCGCTTGCTTTTGTCACTGTGTGGGTGGGAGGGGCAAAGCCATTATTAGACGTGCCCCTTCACAAGTTCGGCCAATGGCGTGACGGGGCTAGATAGCTGACGCTCAGTAGTACACACTATTAGTGTGAGGGAGATCAATACAAGCTCTTGTGCACTTCTATACACCAAGGCTGTATGTGGAGGAGGTGAGGGGTATGTACCTCCTGTCGGGGAGAAAGTACATCTTCACATAGGGGTTCCTGGGCCTCCCATCCATCCGGAGAGGAAGGTCTATGGCTTGAAGCACGTTGACAATCAGCTGATGGCCCACTTTGTCGTACCAAAGCTTCACCTGCAAGGCACATGCTCTCCTTTAGCTACAGCAGTGAAGGAGGGACCACACGGTCATGCAACCAATGAAAGGGCTTCATGCTGCACTGCTATATGATGAAACATCAGACAGAGAGCAGAGTGTGCGTGTGCACAGGCAGACAGCAGTTAGGGAGAGTACACGTGTACTCAATGTGCACAGGCAGAGCGTTGTGTGGGGGCGTTGCACGTGTACTCAAAGTGCCCAGGAAGAGAGCAGTGTAGGGGCGTGCACGTGTACTCAAAGTGCCCAGGAAGAGAGCAGTGTAGGGGCGTGCACGTGTA